GCAGGAATGAGCTACTGTCACAGAAACATGCTTATTTAGCATCAATATGAGCCTATTAAAGATGATACAAGGGAACCAGAAAGACTTTTTCTCTTTTTGTTCATGCATTAATCAGCAAGATAATTGACGGCGTGGGTGAGTAAAAGGCAGTTTAGGTGCTGCTCACCGTCTGTTCTCTCGACTGTTGCTGAACAGTTTGATCATGTCTGAAAGGAAGAGCCGCCGAACCTCCATCAGCTCTGTGCTGTGGGCTGAGTTCTTCAGTAAGGTTGCCACCACCTTGAGAATCACTGATGTCACATGCACACAAACACATATTGTCAATTTATTAGAACTGAATGCTTTAGAAAGACTAAAACTCAGTGTAACACCTACTGTAATTGGCTTACTTGGGTTCTGAATCTTGATAGTAGAGTCAGGCTCAGGATGAGGTTTGTGAACTACCTGTGTGCACACTTGCTCTGTCAGTATCTGGTGTGGGAAGCAGTGAGAAGACATCAGCCACACATTCTGTACACACAGTCTGATGCTGCAGTAACAGTGGAACATTTGAAAGGGAAACGATTTGTTACCTCGTACAGAGTGTTGTAGGTCGTCACCGTCACAATGTTGGTGTGCAGCATGAGCCTCTCTCCCAAGAGAGTAAAGAGGCTGTGTGTGTGCATGATCTCCATCTTCCTCCTGTGTATAAACACACACAAGCACACACACAGACATAACAGTAAAGTGGCTTGTTTAGAGCTCTCTAAGCAACTGAAAGGATCAGTGAGTGCCATCAGCTTGTTTCCCTATTCTTACCCACAGGGAGCCATGCTCAGGAGACAAGTGTCAGGAACTGCCTGCTGTCATAAACTGGGGTAATTTTGTTGGAGGTGTGTAGGGTAATGAAGTTAGGCTGTCACTAGGAATGGTTCCCAGACACAACAAAGGTACCACAGCAGGCACAAACTACTTCTTCAAACAACATAAGGACTACTGTCAAAAGCTGATGCTCAAAAACTGCTCTACTCTGCTGCCACTGCCTCAAGACAAGTTGGGATTTTCTTAATAAGTCAACAATATTTTTTGTATTTTGGAAAGGCTGGCAAATAGGACACTTAGGAAAAGAGTAGCACTTCTCTAAACTGTATAAATATGGAAATCTGGGAGAAAGGGCAAACTGGTGATGCTTAGCAAGCTGAGGTGACACTTGTACAAGGCTGCTCAACCAACAATGTACAGTGAGAGGATGGGCCTTATTGTAAATGCATTCATGACTGTAAATCCAAACTCACTCCCTGAATTCATTATGTTTATGGTTTTAAGTCATGTAAATGCAATTATTACAAAAAGGAAATCTGAGACAATGTCTTCCTTTTGCACTCTGGCATGCTTTTTTAGTTTTCTTCTATTGCATGGCAAAAAATGATATTTGTAAATAAATCTACTGTATCACATTATCCTATTTGTATTATCAACTCAATATCTAACATCACTGAATAAAAAGTGATAAATTCAATTACAAAAAACTAGTAACTTCAACAAAGCACTGAAGATACTAATTCATGAGCGTTACTAGATCTCATAGTGAACCAGCACTGTGCTTTAAAATGTATGAAAGCTATTAAAGTGAGGTGAAAGCAGGCTTTCCTGAAGCACTCATGTCCCTTGAGGATATACGCCTTTTACTGGTACCTGGGGCAGTCTGGCAGAGAGTTAAGCCTGCCCTTTCTCTCACTTTAATAGGCACCGATAACACCAAAACACCTGGTGCCCACCATTGTGAGCAGAGCACAACCCCCATATCTTTCCCATTCATCCCTGCATCCCTCATGTTGAATCACAGGCTCTCTGACTTTAGGCATTCTCTCTCCCCTCTCCATGTGCAGCATACAGAAGATATGCTGCCATCCTAGTGGACACTTCATTATTTATTTCACTCTCCAGGACAGTAACTTGGACTTTTTCTACCCTTCTTTTACGTCAAGTAATGACACAGGAGACACAACGGCAGGAATCCAAGTGTTTTACAAAGAAGAGCACACTGATTTGCAAAACTGGCATCCAGTCAAGAGTTATAGGCTCTTTTCTCTGAATGTAAAGCCTGATTTATGATGCTTCAGTTTCTATGCTATTATCATATTGTTGCTAAAATGGACATTTCCTGGACATGGAAGAGGCTAAACATGACAAGACAACATACAGTAGTTGGCAGCATGAGATTGTTCATTATGAAAAAAAACCAAACAAACTGGGCAGCACGGTGGCGCAGTGGTTAGCACCGTTGCCTCACAGCGAAAAGGTTCCAGGTTCGGGCCCTCCTGGGACCTTTCTGTGTGGAGTTTGCATGTTCTCTCTGCGTACTCCGGCTTCCTCCCACAGTCCAAAGGTCCCAAAGTCCCATAGGAGAGCGTGTGCGTGTGTGTGGTTGTTGTGTTAGCCCCGCGATGGATTGGCAACCTGTCCAGGGT